AAAACCAAAGAGTAAGAAATGGTTCAAGTTATAGAAAAAATAAATTAGGTTCCAGTTATAGAAAATGACTTTGATTCAAGTTATAGAAAAAAAGATGCGAATGATAGAGAATGAAGCTTACCTAGATGGTTCTTTTGAAGGGAATATGTCATGACAATTCACAAAAACTCATGGGGCTGTGATGGAACTATTAATTCTTTCTGCGAAATTTATTTACACATCGCGACATCTATCAGAGAGATGAAATTTCAATTTTTATTATTGCATTATTCCAAAATTTTAACACATCTGCAGATAGCTATTAATGTCAACAACTGAGAACAAATAGTTATTAATTAAAACTAATTAATTAATTAGTAATTAATGTATATTATCCATAACTAGATGTACAAGAATGTCGTTTTTGATAAAAGTTAAAAAAATAGGAATAAATACGTAAAAACTGCGTATATTTTCGAAAATTCCTTTTTCACAATATAGCTATTTATGCTATGTTATGCTTATTACCTAAACAATAATAATAGTGATTAATTTTTTAAAAACATTAAAGAATATTTAATCACATCGCCCTAATAGCTGTCGCGATCTGTTAATTCAATACAACTCTTATTTCCCTCAACTATCTCTGCTCATTGTGCTGACAATTTGCTTCTTTTTCTTTCTGCCACTCCTTTTTTCAATAATGTAAATCTCCAAGAAAATTTGTCTACGTAAAGTAACTTAGATTTTTACTTCCTCTTCTCTTGTGATTTAATTTTAAAATAATTTTTAATAAATTGTCCGGATAAATTTAAACCATTTTCTAATTTCTGTCTGATCAGGCAGATGTAAAAAAATTAACTGGCGAAATAAATTTATTACCGAATTCTTCAATGATGCGTTAATTTTTTTTCCTTCTTGATGTATATATTTATAAATGTAGATATGTATATGTATGCAGGCAAGAGGATTACTTTTTTTCGGGTGGATGATTAACATGAATGGAAATGGAATAAGGGTAAGCAGAATGTGATTCACCTGTGCGTTTGCGTGCGTATACACACACACACACACACACGTACAGATCCTTTTTTTATGGAAGAGCGTACATTGCTGGCGAAGCGGAAGTTATCCGTGATTGGACTATAAATTGCCAAGAGGAGTCGCAGTGTGTGATTGGGAAGATGGAGAAAATTGTAGCCAACGGAATTTACACAAGTCGATACCCAATCAGTATCGTCCGGGTCACTGTGGAGAGTGGGGTATGATTTTCAAAAACCCGAAACTCCTAATGAACCTCAGCTAGAAACATCACTGATGATGTCTACCAAAGCATTCAATAGATGTATTTTACGAAATATTAAGCAAATTCTAAACACCTGATCCAAAAAGTCTGAAGAATATGTATATTGACCAAAAATGTGGAGTATATAAGAAATTATCAAGCTCTAAATCTTGATATGGAGTTAAAGAATTGGGGTAATGGTTAACAGCACGAAAAATAGAATCGATAGACAGAGTTCAAATTCCAGTCGTGTGTTTATATCTTGGGCAAAGTATAAATTCTCCTCTCGCAATTACCCCGTGTAACTGTATTACGTAAGCTAATATATTTACGCGGAATAATTGCGATATGTGGAGTTATGCTTTTATGCATGTATTATATAACCTAGTACAGGTACTGTAACGGATATCAGTGCGACAAGTGGAATCGACGAGCCGAGTTCAAATTCCTGGTTAATTTGTTGTATTCCTTTTTTTTCGCCCGAGCATTGAATATTACTGTCATATCTGGTCTGGTGCTCCTACTAGATTCTAGATTCTTGACAAAATTCCAAAGAAGGATCTGTAATGTAATCGATCCTGACTAGGCATCTTCTCCTCAGTCCCTTTCTCAACGATGTGTCGTGGAATCCCTCAAATATTTTCATGACAACTGTTCTCATGAACCTTTCTCCTTGGTGTCCCGACTGCATGAATTTAAGCGTGCTGCTAGTTCGACAATTCAGTCAGTCAGTTATGTGCCATGCGTGATAAACGCTTAGGCGATCATGTACCCTTCGATACATGACTGACACATTATATTGCTATTTCTTTCTGCGGTAGACCAGTTGCCATCCAAGGCTATAGAACCCAGTCTGTCCTGCTATTTACCCATAACTAGTGGGAGAAGAGGAGGATTCATACTTTTCCCAAGTGAATCTAATGGATTCGACTGGAATTCGAACTCGGCTCTTCGATTCTTCAATCCGAGCCGCTATCCATTACTCGACAACGTTTTACTGTTGAACTCGCTAGATGTACCCGTATGTTCTATTCTAATAGTTTCTTTTCTCTCACTTCTCATCTATAGAACTTCCTTCCGACTTCTTGCTTCCCTGTCACCTAACATTTTCAAAAATATAAATACAACGCCAATCGGCATCTTCTGTCCTTTTATTGTCCTTTCTCATCACTAATGTCTTCTCATTTCCTTTCACTCCCAGTAACTCCTTGCGTCCTAGTAGCATTATCGCCTTGCTTTGAGAGAAATGATTAAAAACAACAAAAAAGAAGTAACAAATACCTTTAAGAAAGGCATGAATCCGTTTCATTGCCCACTAGCTATGGATTAAATAGCACGGGTCTCTTTCTAGATTTGAGTAGAAACCGGTCTAAGAGAAGGAAAACTCTGAATGGAGAAGAGAATGCAAATTGGAGAAGGCAACGGGAATCCACTTCACTGTCTTTCTCAAGAGTCTATGGCAATCCAGAGTCAATAAAAGAATGTAATTTGTTCAGTGTTATGATCGCCTACGTCCTGTAGGGTCAATGTATTTAAAAAAAAAAATTATTTTGAAAAGAAATGGGCTCCTCCAAGTAACTGGTATTATCCTTAAAAATGCCGCGATGAATCTATATGATGCACTGATAATCTAGTATTGGGATTCCTTGGAGGCGATTGAAAGATCAAAGGGCGCGGTGAGGTAAAAGTAAGAGGCAGTATAGTGGCATTAGAACCAAGCAGTATTTTTTGGTTTTGCAAATTCTATATGACAAAATCTAAGTCACTTGCACATACGCTTTACATGATGACATAAGAGTTATATATGAAAATCGTGTATTTATTTAACTTTATTGTCTGAAGTTAATGCCCAAATATGTTTTATATTTTGCTGATGTTATCTAGACAGAACACACCACACACCAGCCAGAAAAGACAGCCGACATATGCAGGAATCAATGGTCTAGGATTTTAAGTATGGCGATATAACTACGGATGTTCGCTGGGTGACATCTCATCTAATAGCATTTTTTTAAAAAAGCCGAAATGGATATATACGTGTTCATAGTGTTAGATTAATCGATACTTATTTACAGTATTTACATTGTTCGGATTATTGTTCTCATCTTTGTTGTTCATATTCACGACGTTTCGGCCGTTGTAAGCTCGGACCTTCTTCAGGTGATTGGAATTTCGAACAGAACCCTCTATTTCGTTCATCAGGGTATATTGTTCTACTTCCACATGTCATGCCTTTTCCGGATATTTCAGTTTCAGTTATTTCCTTTAACTCAACTCTCAAAGTTATTTGTTTACCTCTGCTCTGGTCAGGTATTGAACTCGCAACTCTTTGGGTCAAGTCACTGGACTGCCAACATTTTTATCCACTAGGTTATGCGTCCTTAAAGGGAACTAACTGAAACTGAAAGAACAGAAAAGGCATGGCACGTAGTCTAGAACAATATGCTCCACTTTCCACCTAGTGCCAAACTAGGCAAAAGTTAGCAAATATCAACAATTGGGAAAGACATTCTTCAATTTAAACGTGGATAATTTCACACGCATGCGCGCTTCGTTTTCCTCATTCACACGCGCGCACATAAATTTCCTCTTTATTTCTTACATAAACACACGTGCGCACACAGACAACTAAACACAAACAAGGCGACCATTTTCTTTTCTTTTTTTTTACATCCTGTCTCGTCATCTTCCTTTTACCTCGCCTTACCCACAAAAATAAGAGAAGCGAAAAGAAAAGCAGAAACGTATTTCTTAGATGTCGGATACGTTGTACACTTGCATTTTTATTGTTGAGTCTGCTTCTAATTCTGATTTCTTTCTTTTCCTTCTTGTTCGCTTTTTTTTCTTTAATTTTTTCAGTCATTTTTTCTATCATTAATATTTATTAAGCCTGGCTTCATACGATACAGGGCGAAATGTAGATTAATGCGGATTAGAGAGATTTATTTGCGTCAATCTTCCAAATAGCGTGGGCGTTCCTTGAAAATCAGCATTCGAAACCCTGTGTTTTATCTAGGATTGAACAATGACTGGTAGCGATGGTGGGTTTATGCAATTATCTCAACCACGAGTCAAGCCTATATTCAATATATATTTATTAAATTTAGCTTCATCACGAAAAAGTTGAAATGACGTTTAAGAAGATTGTGTTGCACCAGTTTTCTAAATGGTGGTTTACATTCAAAATCCCTGGCCTTTACATGAACTTCAAAAACTGGATATATCCAATAATCGCAGACATCTGCTTTTTAAAAAAATCATTTCACCCAAAGCAAGACAGTAAAAGCCATTAGAATGCAAGGAAGTTACTGAGAGTGAAAGGACAATAAAAGAACAAGTTTCAAGGAGACAGAAGATGACGATTGACATTGCATTTAAAATTTTGAGGATTGTAGTTGAAAGAAGGCACGGTGGAGTAATGGATAGCGGCTTGGATGGAAGAATCGGAGAACTGAGTTCGAATTCCAGTCAGATCCATTACATTGACTTATGTGCTAATACCCTTGGCATCTTCTTCTCCCCTAGCTATGGGTAAATAGAAAGAAATGGCAACCTACTGTGGGGAAAAAATCTGCCTCGTCAGTCATGTATCGAAAGATACATGATTGATTAAGCGTGTATCACGCATGGCACATAACTGATTGAGTTGACAGGAAAGCAGAAAGTCGAAAGTTCCCCAAGTGAGAATCTCTAACTATTTTTTTTAAGTTTATGCTTTCATACCGTTTTTTTTTCTATGCTTTTCGCTTCTCTCCTAATTTTTTTCTTTTCTTGTCTTTTCTTTCTTTTTTTTCTTTCTTTCTTTCTTTCTTTCTTTCTTTATTTATTTATTCTCATTTTGGTTCTTTTTACTTTTTCTTGTTTCACATTTTTCTGTATCTTTTCTTTTGTTTGTTTATTTGTTTTTTCTGCTTTTTTTCTTTTTTTATGTCTTTATTGTTTCTCTTTTAACATTCTTCATTTTTCTCTCTTTTTTTCTCATTCTCATTTTCCTTATACTTTTTTTTCGTTTTTCTTTCTTTTTTTCTTTTTGCATTTTTCTCTTTCATTTTCATTATTTTTTATCGTTTAACATTTCGTCTTTATCGCTAGTCTTCCTTACAATTTCTATCTTTTATTTTTTTTTCCTTTTTCACTTCTTTAATATAACTCTTTTTCTTCTTTGACATTGTTTACCTATCTTATTCTTTCTTTCTTTCTGTCTTTGTTTCTACTTTTCTATCTCCATTTCTCCATCTTTCCTCGTTTTTATTCCTTTTTCCTCTTTAAAAAATTATTCCTTTTTTTTCCGTCATTCATATTTTGATTTTCCCTTTTTCTTTCTGTCAGTCTGTCCGTCTGGGTTTTTTCCTTTTTCTTTTCCTTTTTAACATTCCATTCTACCGTTTTGTCTTCTTCCTCTGTTTTATCTTTTTCTTTCTTTTTAGTTTTTCTGCATTTTTTTAATTATTTTTTATCCTTTAACATACCACCTCTTTCTCTTTCTTTTTTCTTTTATAGTTTTCTTTCTTTCCGTCTTTATTTAATCTAATGTTACTACTTTTTACTTTCTTCTTTCTTTCTTTGTGTAGCGTTTCAGTTTTAACTTTCCTTCTTTTCCACTTGCACATTTTTCTTTTACCTTTTTTTTTTCTTCATTTTTACAAATTTTCTTGCTTTCTTCCTTTATTTTTTATATTTTAACTTTCCTCCTTTTCTTTTTTCCTCTTTCACATTTTTCGCTACCATTTATTTGTTTTTTCTCAATTTCCCTTTTTTTATCTGTTATTCTTTCCTTCGTCTTTTCTCTTTTAATCGCCTTTTCTCTATTCCTTCTTACTGGATTGCATTCTCTGTAAATCACAATTGTTAAATGACACCAACCATACTTTTATTCCATTCCAATGTTTTCTAGTTAAACAGCTAAAGTCCGGCGCGTCCTTCGGCGCGGGAAAACAAATGATACTGTTGAGAAGAATTTCATTGGCGCATTAATCGGCGATGGGCCGAAACTAAAAGCCGGATGCGTTTAACCTTACGTTCAGATACAAAGAAAACAAAATACAAAAAATAACATGAAAACATTGAAAAAAAATAACAATCTTTTACTAATCAAAGAAATCTTGCGTGACCCGTAAGGACCAGAGATTCGATGAACCTTGACATTTTTAACCTCTGTATTCTATAAATGCCTCTTTGCTGGCATAAACACTGCTTGATTAAAACGATATGGCACCATTATGTATGTGTGTGCTTGTGTGGATATGTGTATATTCATGTTTTTTACGGGTGCCTGTGTGTGCGTATATGTATGTGCGGGTTTGTTTCATTCTAGGTCCATATGTCAGTTGCAATTTGTATGTGCATGACTATGTCTGCGTGTGCATATATATATATATATATATATATATATATATATATATATATTTGCGAAGAGGTTCTGAAAAGTTATTGGTGCGCCAAACTTCCCAAAATTATTCAAATACTGATTTAGGGAAGTTGGTAATGCAGAAAACTTTTTAGCATTCTCTTATGTACACACACATAGATAGATAGATTTATTTATATATATATATATATATATATATATATATATATATATATATATATATATATATATATATATATATATATATAATATGAGAAATGTTCCAAACTTAATAAAAACAAAGTTATTATTACGAATAAAGTTCAAAGGTTTTTTGTAATATGAAATCATATTTTTAATAAGATTTTTTTTTTTTGAACATTCAAAATTTGGGTTAAAAAATTTAGTTTTTTGCCTCAACGGATCACCATAAATTAGTATGAAAAAATAAAACTTTAGCGTCTTTTTACAGTAAAAAAAAAACACATTGATTTGTAAATTCTTGCAAAAGAAATATAATTGTTGGATATTAATGAAAATTTCAGGACTTATTTACAAATATTTAAGATTAATTTAGAAATTTTTTTTTTTTTTTAGAAAATCTTAGTAAAAATATTTTTTTTACATTTATTACCCCCACCCAGAACTTATTTAATTTTTTAAAAAATTCGAGAAATTCATTTTCGCACGCCTTAATATTTATATTAGTTATAAGCACTAATGCTTGGAGAATTTAAATCTTCAATTTTTAATTTTATTTTTATTTTTTTTATTTTTTTGTCAAACAATACTGCCAGTTACAGAAAATCTGCTCTGAATCGTAAAATATAAAATCCAATAAAAATGAGACATTATTTAATTAGAATAGCTTTTAATTGCTTTTAAGAATATTTTGGACATTATAGTTTTAAGAAAATAAAAATTCGATAAATAATGAATTTTTATAATAATTGTTTTCAGTTTTTAATTCTATCTCTAATCATTTATCAAGATTTAATCTTTTAAAATCCTGTATTAATTTATAACGGTTAGGTGATATTATTATTAAGTAAAAACTATTTTTACAAATCATAAACTGAAAAGCTTGCTAAAAGTCAGCTACTCTCAGTATTTAAAAAAGATTTTTGATTTATTTTATTGCAAAATCAGAAAATAAGAACGGTAACAAATTTAAAATTCATTGGTAATTTTCTAACTTTTCCTCAACAAGCGTCTTCGTCAGTAAGACTATAAAACCAAAGTACCTAAAATTCAATAAATTATTAAATTGCTTTTCCCAAACTATTTTCAAAATTTTTTATGATTACTGGGTAGTTAATATATATATATATATATATATATATATATATATATATATATATATATACAGTGTAACCCGGATATAAGAGAGTTGTCGGGACAGGAGAAGAAGTCTCTTATATCCGGGTTTCTCTTATATCCGGGTTTGGTCTATTTTATATACATTAACACAGGCTCTAATTTGGGACCAGAGAAAATCTCTTTATATCAGGGTTTCTCTTATATCCGGGTCTCTTATATCCAAGGTTACACTGTATATATATATATATATATATATATATATATATATATATATATATATAAAAACGTTTACGTTATATTCGTCAGATAATTGTTACACTAATTGTCACCCTTCGAAAAATCACAAATTGTAGTCTATCGCGATAGTTTTCTACACTTCATAAAAACACTCATCTCCGTGTTAAAATTACCTTTCTGCGATATTTTAAATTAAAAGTAATATTTGTTTCGAATCAGATTAATTAAACTTTACAACAGCTAATCTTCTTGAAATAAAAGTATATTATTTTTAAAGATTTTTTAATGAAGAGAATTACGTTGTATTGACAGATTTGTAAATATTGGTGATTTTACCATTTTTACTGATAATAGAAAAATCATTTCAATCAATTTAAATTCAGTTTGAAATACAGAAAAGTATTTTTCTTGTTAGAAATATTAAATTTAACCTATTAGATTGAAATCAAAACTAAACTAAAAGCTTCATGACAGATTTTTCATTGTCAACATGCATTAATAATAAAATGATATCACTTTTTATTTGGAGGTACATAAACTCGTGTGTGTGTGTGTGTGTGTGTGTGTGTGTGTGTGTGTGTGTGTTCGTGATCGTGAATACCTATCCTAAAGCCTTCCGCATATATTTTTTTTTATTTGCCAGGAGTCATTATTCTCCACTCTAAAAGGCTGAACGTTCCTGTAAAGGCGACCTGCTAATTTTCGGGCATCACGCCTGAACGGAAGTATTCGTTTGGCGTTCGACCCAGCAATCGTTTGAGGTAAGGATCAAAGAAGCAGGAATAAGTTTAAAAACAAAGCAAGCGACATTCCCGAAGGTCAGTAAGAACTAAAACTGCCCTAATAGAGATTGACCTGCTAAATAGAAAGTAATTTAATTTGTTAGAATTCGCTCTGATCCCAGATGGTGAGGTCAGCGTTTTAGTGGGATCTTTTATCAAACGCCTGATACCAGATAACTAAAACTAACAGTGATGTTTTACAAACGATTGAATAACTTTGGCTCATCAGGTAAAAACGTTGCTTCTTCAAATAGAAATATCGGTATACTACACATGAACAATTACTTTTATTATTAAAATTACCATTTTGTGAGCTACTGTAATTTGATAGCTGTATATAAGAATATAATAATTATTAAAATTTCCAACCTTTGTCTAATTTGCAAGCAGTGGAACAACTATCGGGTCTGGAAGTGGAATTGACCCATTCAAATTCCAGGTTAGGCTGTTGGGTTCATTTACTTACAATTGCATTTGAGAAATGTATCCATTTACCCCCAGATATGGGCTAAATAGCAGGAGAGGCTAGGTTCTCTAGCCTTGATTCACAATCGGTCTAAAAGAAGGAAAACTAATTCTTAACCGTGGTTAAGGCTACGGGAAACCACGGTACTATCTTTCTCAAGAAGGCATGGCAATTCTCATTCGTTCATGTGTTGTGTCCCTTTGGATCGTGAGCTATAATGGCTCCCCACAACTTCCTCTTCTTCGTAGCTCTTAGTAGTATTTGTCTTTCTACTATCTCTCACACTCCCTGTTTCGCCATCCATTTACACAAGCTTATTAGGTTGAGTATTCACTGTTTCTCTCTGTTCCTCTTCCCTTTAATATATCCGGTGAGTGTCAAATTCTTCACACCTTTTTTTCTTATTATGTGCCAAAAAGATTTCATCTGTCCCATTCTGATAAGAGACATTTTTTAAAATATGAAACTGTTTCATATATTGCTAATGCAATCAACTAATTAAATAGCCAAGTATTTGAACTTGTATTTGACAGGGCAAATCAATCTTTAAAACAAACAAAAAACACTGTTTCTAATAAACATTGAATAACTAAAAATGGTGTATATTTACTTTTTGATTATTTCCATTTATTGAAAAAATAAGCCAAATAATTGTAAAAAGTCTTTTTGAGTATGAGAAAACTCAATTTGTATAACTGTCAAAACTAACTGATGTAACAGTTTAGCTAAAACCTACTGAGCGACAAAAAGTTTCCTTTATTTACATTATTCGGACTATTGTCCTCATCTTTGTCGCTATATTTATTACAATGTTTCGGTCGTTGTACGCTCCGGCCTTCTTCAGTTGGTTGGAATGTCGAACTGAACCCTTTATTTTGCTCACTGTTCTAGTTCCACGTTTTAATGGATGTCAGTTATCAGTTATCTCCTGTTAATTTCCCTCTGAAAGTTCTCCACTGCCTTAACCGGGTATTGTACTCACACTCTTTGGGTCATGTCACTGGCTCTAACTAACGCCTTTATCCACTGTGCCAAGTGTCGTGAAACTAGAACAGTCTACCCCAGTGAGCGAAATAAAGGGTTCAGTTCGACATTCCAACCACCTGAAGAAGGCCGGAGCGTACAACGGCCAGAACGTTGTAATAAATATGGCGACAAAGATGGGGACAATAGTCCGAATAATGTAAATAATGTACATAATAACTTATCTCAGAAATATAGACAGATACAAAAAGTTTCACATTGTTCAAAAGTGTTTTGTTATCAAACTGCACAAAACCCATCCATTATTAAAAGGGGGGGAACATTTCCTTTCATTGAAAATGTTTTACAATCTTAGAAAATTGTTAGCGTCAAAGAAGTACATGGTGCTATAATGAAAAATGATCCATTGAGAGAAATGCCATATCACATTTGGACAGTTAAC